ATTGTTGAGTTTTAGTTAAATAAGGGTTTTTTAAGAAGGCTAAGGTCTCGTTCACTTCACTGATTCGAGTTTAGAATTCGAGTTAAGATGTGATTTTATGTGAGAGTTTTTTACTGTAGCAAAAAAGTTAGATGTGATTGTTTGTGAGAGCTTTTTACTGTAGAAAAACTCGAATTCTAAACTCGAATCAGCGAAGTGAACGGGGCCTAAATTAGAATTTGAAGCTAGCTTAAAAAGGAAGTTTTAGGTCTTTTTTTTTAAGCAATGTTTGGTGATGGATTTTTTGTAAGTGTAAAATATGGTTATACATAGTTATTTTGTAAGAAGCACAGTCACTTGTAAGGAATAAAAATATTCGTATATATTTTTTACCACCAAAGTGAAAATTATTTTTAAAATCAATAATCTTATTTTACATTTTACATACATAAAAAAGTCAAAAAAAGTTTTTACTCGTGGTTCTTTTATGGCCATGTGTTATTCTTTTTCTTTCACATTTCCTCATTCTTTTAACGTTTTGTTTGTTATTTGTTTTTTTTTTTATTGCTTAAAGCTCTAATCAATTTATTTTTTATGGCAAGTCTCTTTCGAATAAATTTTTCTTTATTTTGTTCCGGTTAAAATATTTCTTTCAAATGTATCCTTACTTCATTTTTATTTTGTGTTTTTCCTTTTTACCAGATGCTTATGTAAATTATAATTTTCTCTTGATGTGCTTTTTTTTTAAAACAGTTTTTTTTTTCTCTTGATCCTATTAAATAATTTTTTTACAAATGTCTCTCTACTTAATTTACTTTTTCATGTAATACGTAGTATATAGAAATTGATCTTTATACATATTTTGTTTTCTAATTAGACCACCAAAATAATTTTTTCTTAAACATGTCCTTTTTTAAACAGCTATTTACGCATAACCTTTCAATTATTTATTTTTTATAAAATTTTTTTTCTTCTAATTTGTTATCTTCGAGGAATTTTTTCTTAAATACGTCCATATTATGAATTTCAAACATTTTTTTTTCCAGGGGTATTTTCAACTACTATTTTTTTCACTAGTTACGCAGACATGCTCTGCATGTATTGCTGAGTGTATCACTTGAGCAGTTTATTAGAAAAAAACTCATTTGATTTTAAACGCATAATAGTAGAATAGAGTGAAAAACAATTAAATATATACACAATTTTTGATGAGGCATATTCAAAAATTTAAAATTTAGAAAGTAAATATGAGGCACATTTTGATTTTAAACGCATAGTAGTAGAATAGAGTGAAAAACAATTAAATATATACACAATTTTTGATGAGGCATATTTAAAAATTTAAAATTTAGAAAGTAAATATGAGGCACATTTTGATTTTAAACGCATAGTAGTAATAGAGATTGAAAAACAATTAAATATATATAACAATTAAATCTGAGGCACATTTTGATTTTAAACGTATAGTAGTAGAAGAGATTGAAAAACAATTAAATATATATACAAATTTTGATGAGGCACATTTAAAAATTTAAAAATTTAAAAGTAAATGTTTTAAAATGTGTGTTTCAAACACAATGTATGTTTCTGTTAAATATTGTAAATTGAACACATTTGATTTCGCAAAATCAAATAGAAACTAATTAGAGTGTACATATTATATGGAAAAGAAAAAGAAAATGTTTATGTAAGTGCATATTTAAGCATCATTATTTCAGTAGTGTCTTTTTTTTAAAAAAAAATGAAAATATAACACATATTTCTAGCAAAAAAAAAAAAATATAACACATATTTAAAAAAATCACATAGAAAACTAATTAGGATGTACGTAAAATGTTTACTTAATGATATATTTGAGGAAAAGTATTTCAGTAGAGTAAAAAAAAGTAGTCAAACACATGTAACTTAAATTATATAGATGATTGTAAAAAAATTACTCGAGTAAGAACATATTTGTAAAAAATATTGCCTGAGAAATTAGAGAAGAGAAAAAGAATTTAACAGAGGAGAGAAAGAAAAAGAATTTAACATATACGTGAAAGTTGAAAATGAGAAGAAACAAAAAAAAAAAAAAGTAAGAAAAGAAAAAAGAGTATGTAAATAAAAAATAATTGATGATCAAATTAGAATAAAAGTAAGAAAAGAAAAATGAAAAAAAAAACGCGGGAAACGTGTTACCCACGCGTCAAAAATGGTGAAGTGAATGGGGCCTAATTTTTTTTTTTCCATTCATTTTCTATCTGTCCATGCATATGCGATATTCAACAAAAACGGACATTTTGATTGAAGCGTTTAGAAATCATTTAACATACATAAAAAAGAGCCGATGATACTTCATCTTTATCCTTTAAGTAACCGAGAGTTTCATTACCTTTTTTTTCTCTCTCTCTTTTAACCTTTTTTTTCCTCATTATCTTATATAATTCATCCTCATTTTCTTTCTCTGTACATAGTCTTATATTTAGAATTAATTATAAAAGTTCTCTTGAACTATAATTTTTGTAACACTTTATCTTTTAATAGAAGCCTTTTTGATAGAAGCCTTAATGGTAAGAGATTTTTTTTTAAACGTTTTGTATTTTGGAGGAAACAGTTGTTGCGTTTAAAGATTAAGAGACAAAATGTTATAAGAATCATAGAAGGAGGAGGGTGGAGAATATTTTTGTAATTAATCCTATATTTTAAGATGTGTCCATTAAAATACCTTTTTCTCGGTTAACATATTAATATAGTTTTTTTTGTAATATACTCTTACTTAAATATCTCTCTCCTCATTTAACCACCTTAATTAGTTTTCTTTTTCCTTTATACTAAATATGATCTATGAATCTTTACATACATAAAAAAAAAAATCAAGTTACGGCTTGTTATTTTGTAAGACTTGAGTTATGACTTGAGTTTTGTATGGGAGTGAAAAACATTACAGTAAAAAAGTTAAATTTGAGTTTTTATAAAAAAAAATATTATAGTAATATAATTTGAGTTATGAAATAAACAATACCCTAAAAGTCTTTTTCTATTCACCATCCTCTACTTGATAAGTTTCAACTCTCATCTTTTTTGCTTTTTTTTTCTTTACTTTTTTAAATTCATTTTTTGGTCCTTTGTCCCCTATTCCTTTTTTTTTCTTTATGCTTTTTTTTTTTGCTGAAAACTACTCTACAGTTGAGTTACTACCACGAGTTTTTTGAAATACTTTCCAAAAGCACTTTTATCGTGTAATTTTTATTTGATATGGTTTTTTACTTGATTGGGGTGAGTTTAGAATTATTGTGCTTTTAAGATAATCGCTATTTTTATTTAAAATAAAAAATAAAAACAGAAGTAAAATTTAAAAGTTATAGGGCACATTTAGAACTCGTTTCAAAATGATTTTATTTTTTATATGAAAATAAAAATGAAAACATTTTCAATCTTAGACAAAAATTATTTTTAAAAATGCGTTTTGTAGTTTTATCAAGAGATTATTTTCAGTATAAAAAATTCATTAATGTCTCTCTTTCTCTCTCTGCTCGAGAGAGGAGAAAACAAAAATAAAAAATGAAAAACGAATAAAAATCGTTTTTTATTTTTCTCTCATTTTATACTAAATTAAAAAATTATTTTTATTTCTCTTTTTTGTCTTTATTGTACTAAACGTCGTTTTAAAAACGTTTTTATTATTTTTTTTAAAAACGTAAAAAATAAAAATAGGATAAATTCTAAACGTGGTAATAAATTTCAAGTTCGCCAAATAAATTACAAAGTACATTGGATTTTGTGTAAAATACTTTAATGAATTGTAAATGAAATCCCAAATATACCCTTACTCCTGTTAAAATAATTTTTCAAATGTGCATCTATTCAATTTTTTTTCTTGTCAAATCCTATACGGTAAAACGTGCCGCACGTTACCAAACTATTTAATATAAAAGTGGTAATATGTTCATTTTCTTTTTAATATAAAGTGGTAATATGTTTATTTTCTTTTTGTTCCTCCACGTCACTCATCCCATTTCGTTCCCTTTATTTTGTTTTGCTTATCTTCTTTTTCAATATTTTTTCCATTAATTATCTGATACCCTTTTCCCTCATTCTTGTGTCATTATAATTCTTATATTTTAAGATGTGTTTTGCCTTCTTTTTTTTTTTTTTTTTTTTTTTTTTTTTTTTGTTGTTGTTGCAATTTTCCTCATGCTTTCTTTCCCCCTCCCTTTTCTTTTGCTTTCTAATTTTGGTAAAAGAAAATAGGGTAGCAAAAAAATTTAAACAATGGTCCTCCTGAAACAAATGGGTTCTAACTGTTTAAATCAAAACGAGTTTTATTTTAACGAAAATGGTAAAAAAGTTATAAAATAAACTAAAAACACTTAAAATTATTGTATAAATAAATTCATCATTATACAAGTAATTCAAACACGACAATACGTGCAAAATACGTTCTAAAATTTGTCATGAATTAAAAATGCGAATCAATTCATTTCATTCAATACAATCGCATTCAAAAGAATACGTCTTTTGTGCAGCATGTAAAAACATCACACGCCAAGGGTCAAAACAAAAAATAATAAACAAACAAGATAAAAAACTAAAAAAGTCATCATTAGAGGAACATTATTTTATTTTTGTTACTATTATAAATTTATGTCATGTCACTAGTAATCGGCAAGTTTTCTTTTCATAACTTGAGGTTATATTTTATAATTTACAGGTTATTTTTTATAGTGACATCAAAATTTTATATAGTGGTATAAATAATAAAATTAGAAAAAAACACTATTTAAACTTGAAATTTTTCCAACAAAAAATAAATCTCCGGGTCGGTTGGCTTTTGGAGTAGGTTCATATTTGCACGATCCATTTCTGATATTATTGAAAAGAAGAGGTACCCTCCATTTTGTTGGTATAGCTTCCATTCACATGCAGTGATGCAACGAGCTTCCATTATTAAAATTATACTTTTTTACGGAAGGAAAAAAAAAAGAAGGCAAAACTAGCGAAAGCAAACAGTGCCTTCCCAGTCCCACTAGAATCACGCCGTCTATAAATTAGCACTCCCACAACTTTCAAATACACACAACAAACATCATAAACGTATAGGCCCGGGGTTTTTTCTCTGCTTCTCTCTCTATCTGAAAGAATAAAATGGAGAGAGACGATCATAAACCAACGTTAACAGCTCCATTGATTCAAATTTGTGAAGAAAATGGGCTCAACAATGGAAGTGGCGGAGTTCATGACAAGGGTTTTAAGAGGAAGGAAATTCTTGAAGAAGTAAAGAAGCAGTTATGGCTAGCAGGGCCTATGATATCTGTGGGTCTATTGCAGTATTTCTTGCAGATGATATCGATCATGTTTGTCGGTCATCTTGGTGAAATACCTCTCTCTGGTGCTTCCATGGCCACTTCCTTTGCAACAGTCACCGGATTCAGCTTGTTGGTGAGTTGGATCAAGGCTTCTTATTATTTTTCTGTCAAGATGTTCAACAAGGATAGAAAAATTCTATAGAAAAGAGTCAATTAGAAATGATTTGTCTCTCTTTGTTTTTTTTTGTTTTTTGTTTTTTTGATATGGTAGCCATGGATTTATTACGTGAAATTCTTAATTGTTTGTTGATTCCAAGTAATTTTTATGCCTGTTATTTATGATTTATTTTTATGTTTTGCTTGTCTAAGTAGCTGGGAATGGCCGGTGCATTAGAGACCTTATCAGGGCAGGCATATGGGGCAAAGCAATATCATTTGATGAGCGTCTATATGCAGCGATCCATGATTGTTCTTTTACTTGTTAGCATACCTCTTGCTGTTATTTGGGCAAACACAGAGCCTATTCTAGCTGCTGTAGGTCAAGAGGCTGATATCGCTGCAGAAGCCGGTCGATATGCTCGTGTTATGATCCCGAGCCTTTTTGCCTATGGCCTTCTTCAGTGCCTAATCAGGTTCTTACAAACACAAAACATTGTTTTCCCCATGGTGGTTTGCGCTGGAATTGCAACTGTGCTACATATATTTTGGTGTTGGGTTCTGGTATTGAAATCTGGACTTGGAAGCAGCGGAGCCGCCTTGGCAAACAACATATCTTATTGGATCAATGTGCTGTTGTTAGCTCTTTATGTGAAGTTCTCTTCTTCATGTTCAAAAACATGGACTGGACTATCCAGTCTGGCCTTTCAAAATATTCTTGCTTTTGTTAGACTTGCCATTCCTTCAGCTATCATGACTTGGTAAGTTATAAGGAGCATAAAATTTCTTAAAGAACTTGTGTTTTTAGACCATAAGTCTCATTTCGGTCGATCCTAACGCTTTTTTTTTTTTTTTTTTCGGATGATGTTGATCAGCTTGGAAATGTGGTCTTTTGAAATGGTGGTTCTTTTATCTGGGCTACTTCCTAATCCAGAGTTAGAAACGTCTGTGCTCTCCGTTAGGTTGGTTTATAATTTTGATATTGAAGTGATACAAGTCAGAACTTGAAGTGAATGCCTACTATTTAGGATCATAAATCTTGAAATTCTACTCACAGTCTAAAACTATTTCTAGCTTAAATACAGCTGCGACAGTGTGGATGATTCCTTTTGGACTCGGTCTAGCAGTGAGGTGAGCTATGATATACAGAATCTCTCTCCTTAATGATTTTTTTTTAATTTCCCATAAGAAGTTAATAATATACATATATTGTTTTTGAGCACTGTCATTAGCGCTGTTTTAGACCCCATTCATTGCACCGATTCGAGTTTAGAATTCGAGTTTTGTTATAGTAAAAAGCTCTCAGAAATAATCACATTTAACTTTTTTACTACAATTAAAAGTTCTCACATAAAATCACATATCAACTCGAATCAGCAAACTAAACGGGCCCTTAGAATGTGAGCATAGTAGACCTTATTTATTTATTTATTTATTTATTATAACAGCACTAGGGTCTCGAATGAATTAGGAGCAGGGCGTCCAGAAGCAGCTCGTTTAGCGGTTTGTATTGTAGTGGCCATGGCCATTACTGAGGGTTTATTGGTGGGGTTAGTCCTTGTACTGATACGCAAAATCTGGGGATACGCTTATAGCAATGAAGTAGAAGTGGTGAATTATCTAGCAGAAATGATGCCAATTCTTGCAGTGGCCAACTTTCTAGACGGATTGCAGGGTGTTCTTTCAGGTTTCGTAACTTTCCCTAGCTTCATAAATCAACGTCATTTTAGACATTTTCTTTTAGGCTCATAATCACAAGGAGAGAAATCAGAGATAAATAAATTGCTATGGTGCATCTAACTAAACAAACTCTGCAAGCTAAAAGGGAAAATAAAGTAAAAAAAAAAAAAAAAAAAGAGGGTTTGAAAGCTACTTTTTGTCGATGTTGTAGTTGAGTGACCTACAAGAATTAGTGACCCCAAATTTAGAACGACATCACTTGACAGATCCTAACTCACAATCATAATTTGCACTCTAATGCTAAATAAAAACAGATTTGGTGATCCTCACAGTTAGATAAGGACTGAGATTGTTTTAGGTACTGATCATGCTACATAAAAAAAAAAAAAAAAAAAAAAAAAAAAAAAAAAAAAACAAAGTTGGTGAAAGGGGATGTTGATGTAAAACCTTTTAGTTAAAATGATGTAAAACCTTTCATTCCAGGTACTGCTAGAGGATGTGGGTGGCAGAAGATTGGAGCATATGTGAATCTTGGATCATACTATTTAGTTGGAATTCCGTTGGCCGTCGTATTTGCTTTCGTCTTTCACATTGGCGGAAAGGTTTCCTCTTCATGCCTTTTCCCATACTACACGCTTACATTTCGACAAACAAATAATAACGTGATTTTCTGATAAATAATGTTCGCTTCTTTATTTCTGAGTAGGGTCTGTGGTTGGGGATAATATGCGCGCTAATTGCTCAAGTTTTATCTCTTCTTGCTATCACCATAAAAACCAACTGGGAGAAAGAAGTAACATCTCTCTCTTTCTCTCTATTTTCATATTCTTTGCATTTATTTTCCTCATATGACTCAATAATTGGATTTTGTTTAGGCTAACAAGGCTACAGAGAGAATCTGTGATTCAGCAGTTCCAGTTGATTTGGTCTCATGAAGCTTATCAGTGACCAAAAACAGAAAATCACGGTGAAAAGATTTGACACGCTTGAAGTGTTGGGGCTTATTAAAGCATTGATATTGCAGAAATTTGTATTCCGTAAGCCTAATTTGTACACAATAAGATCTATGTCCTTTTATCCTTTAAGAAAGTAAGAACATGGGTTATAAGTTTTGGTCAGAACACTTCTACGAGTACGCTGTTTTACTGTCACCGAGGCATGGATATCAATTATTTTTTAGGCACAAAATCATAGTCCACTTTTTCATCTTGGGGACAATTTCCTTCTATTTTGTGCATGAAATTACCCCATCCTTTACACTATTTTTTCATTTATTCATCCACCATTGTTCAAATCACCTTTTGATCCTAGCCCTCCATTTCAAATAAGAACATTTTCCTAGATTTTAGCGTATCATAGTTGGTAAAGACAATAGAGATGCCAACCTAGTTGAATTGACAATTTAAAACGTCAATTTAATTCAAGCTCTGGACTTGCCATACTTTTAATATTATGGGTCCATACCCGATTTATGGACATCCTTGGAATTTATTTTGTCACTCTTGGGTAATTTTTAATACTTGTCACACTTGCTTAAAAAGTACATTTACAATTTGGTGATCACTTCTATTATCAATTTAAGAATTAAGAGGCACACATCAATGTATGATCGTTAATTAGTTGATCACCCATTAGCTTTAAAGTTATAATTTTTTTATTTTATGGAAACGTCACAATTTTTTTTAATTGCAAGATTTGGCATATGAATTTCCTCATAAGTTACAATATTTTTAATTGCAAAGAGATGTAATAATGAGGAAATTCATATGCTAAATCTTGATCAAATCCAAGATTAACATAACAAATTTTCCCGGCCATTACAAATTAAGGTTGCACGCTAGAAGGAAGGAGTTTTTATTTTGCGAGTGAAATACATTTTGTATATCCAAGATGTTATGGGGTCACTCTTGGTGCTGCTCAAATGACTTCATCTATGGTACATAACCTCAAAGCTTAAACCGGCAGTCGGTGATCCTCTCAATAATCGTTCAAAGGATAGAAGGTTTTTTTTTTTTTGGATGCCTCATTTATCTCATTATCACAAGCCAAGACATATCTGTTGAAATGTTATTATGTGAACTTCCATAATCATAACGATACACTCTAATATGAGTTAAAGCATATTATGGACATCTTTGTTGTTTGGATTTTAATTATGCATGCATGCCAAATATAGTTCATAAAATGGACTAATTTTACTTATCGTGTGAGGCCCATGAGTTCACCTTGCTTAAAATATTTCAGTTAGCCTATTAAACTGAATAACTCTCTATGTGGCTTTACCCAATAGGTTTAGGGTAAACATTCCTTTGACATACAAATGTATCTCCACATACACTATTACATTTATTTGTTTCTAACGGTTTTCTTTTGCAGACTCCTTGTAATTCGAACACATGACAGGGACTATAATTCAAACACCACGGGAGGTATGATTTTTTTTATTACATATACTAAAGATAGATTAACAATCTTGGGCGATATTAGTCTTGGTGAATTTGATTATGTTATTATCTTTAATTTTCCAACAATTCATATTTTGTTCATGTTCAAAGCAAGTTCATGCAGGAACTGCATGCGAAGCCATATCTTGATGCGTCTCTTCAAATTTTGTGATACTTAAAAGCACCCCTAGGAAAGGTTTGTTCTAATAGAACAATTTAAAACTGGTTGGATTTTGTGATGCAAAGTGAGAGAGTTGTGACCCAACTGTTAAGGATAAAATGTCCGTGTCCCACATCATATGAATACAAACTTAATCACAGCCATATACGAATATTAGACTACTCTACTTAAATTGGTTAACCTTTTAAGATGAAAGCTCAATACTTTATAAAATGCAATTCTTCTCCCTCACTTCTCTCTTCAAACTCTAATACCAACAAGAAAATTTGCAACCATAATACACCGTGTTTTCCTTGAATGTCACTCAGTTTTAAAAAAAAACTAGAAGAAAACTATTATATCTCGCTCGTAAGGAGATGCCGACAATAGAATTATGGCTTTCATCACTTGTGAGTTTGTTTGGTTGAGATATATTCTTCAAAATTTTCAAGTTACAGATTTGTGAGCAACAAAAAGATGCATTGTGATAATCAGACATCCGTGCACATAGCGACAAAAGCAGTCTTTCATGGACGTGGCAAGTATATTCAGTTAGATTGTCATATAGTCAGAGAAAATTAAGTAAAAAGATATATATATATATATATATATATATATATATATATATATATATTACATCATTGTGATAATCAGACATCCGTGCACATAGCGACAAAAGCAGTCTTTCATGGACGTGGCAAGTATATTCAGTTAGATTGTCATATAGTCAGAGAAAATTAAGTAAAAAGATATATATATATAT